AGGACATCTGTAATACTTTCAACAATAAAGATAAATTTTTTAAAATGTTGGCTAAATTAAACAGGATACTGAAAAAAACACCTTCATCAACTTTAGTGCAGTATATTTTTACACCTATCACACATACCCTATGCATGACCTGAAATGTTTGGTGTAGAGAGTACCTTGGAAAGAAGGAGGCAGAGCATTGAGGAGGAAAAAAGAATAAGGAGAGACTGGCACTTCAGCAACTTAGAACTAAAAACCAGCTCTCCATGATTTGCTGTAAATTTTTAATCACTCTCAATTAAAAAGTTTCTATGTGGCTATCAGTACAGACTTTGTAGTCAGACAGACTTCTTTGAATTTCCACACTAATGCCCTTTAGTTATTTGACCTTGGTCAAATTGGTGAACCAGTCTAAGTCTCAGTTTCTTCATTTGTAAAAAGGGGACAACAATTGTATGCTCATAGGGTTGTGTGGATCAAATGGGCTAATGTACATAAAGCCCCTAGCAGAATGACTGGCAAAATAAAAGGAAGCTGCTCCTCTCCACCAAGATAGTGGGACAGGATTTGTCCCAACTAGACAGTGCAAGTGGGAAAACACAAACAAACACATAAAGGTAGATCAGACAACACTATTAGGAAAATTTCAGAGGAAATGGACTAGAAGGGCCACTCTCCTGAGGAATAAATCTCTTCTAACTGGTTGTTCACATCCCAATCCTGGAAGACTCACCGTCACCCCGTATTTGAGTGCTAGTCCAGCCAGGGTGTCTCCGGGCGCCAACTGGTGCTCCAGGCGTCTTTCCCTCACTGGGGAGCAGGTAGACTGCACCAGGCTTCCATAAGAACGAGCCCGGCTCCCTTGGAGCAGTCCTGACCCCCCGAGGGGGTCCTGTCTAGAGGGAGAAGCCATCTCCTCACCCGGCCGGCAGCTGAGGCTGCAACTGCGGGATGCCCGGCTAAGTGACCGATAGTGACAGGCCCGGGGACTGGGAACGGATAATCAGATTCCTTTCCCTTTCTCCCCCAAGTCTCCCCTGGTACTACGCACCCTCCTGCACCCTCGCTTATCCTCCCTCCAAGCCCCTTTCCCACAAATCTGTACTCTTGAGTATTCAGTCCCTACCCGAGTCTCTCCTTAACACCCCTCCGACTTTCGACCCTCTACAACTCGCGACATTGACCTTTGACCTTTGACCCCTAGACACTTTCCTAAATCAAAGGTCCAGTTTTCCCAGAGGTCGGGCAGCCTGGCCTCTCGGCCCCTCTACGTCCCGTCCAGGGGTTGGCCCGTTAGGGTTGAGGACAAATCAGGCCCACCCAGGTGGGATGTCGCCGCCGACGAAGCGCGTAATGATTGCGAGAGTTTGAAGTACACTTTCCCCTCAGAGATCCTCACGGGCCGACTCCGCATCAAATGAGTCACCCCCTCAAATTCGGGCTCCACATCTATCCCTCCAAATGCCTTGAATATGACAAGATGCAAGGGCCTGGGTACAGCTGGAAGGCAGGTTCTTTGAAAAAAGACTTCATTTCCCAAAAGGCTCAGCGCCTGCGGGGGTCGCAGGGGACCACAGGAAATGCGAGCCCCCTTCGCCGGCTGGAGGCGGGCTTTCGGGATCGCGCAGTGCATGCATGGAGGCGCGTCCCCGGAAGTACGGAGGCCAAACGCAAACAGACCAGAAGGAAGAGACGCCCCACTCTTGCTACGGTGGCCTGAAAGGAGTGGCGAAGGCGGTGCAATAAAATTTATTTCTGGGACTCACAGTTGTGATGTCTTTCAAGAGAGAGGGGGACGATTGGAGTCAACTCAATGTGCTCAAAGTAAGTGCGAGAGGGGAGCGTCTAGAGCAGCTTCCGCTGCCTTCTGAAGGCCGTGAAGGAGTTGTTTTGTTGCTCTGGCAACAGATTGGGGGCCGGGAGGGAGTCAGTCAACTAGTGCTGGGCTGTGACCCCTTCTTCGCTCTATGATCTCTGTTCTCTCCATGGTCTTTAGTCCATCTGAGTCCTTGTATCTGTCATCTCCCTGCCACCCCTTCCGCCTATCCCGCTTATCCGTCCGGACTTCTCCCTCTTCCGTCTGCAGAAGCGAAGAGTCGGCGACCTGCTGGCCAGTTATATACCGGAGGATGAGGCGCTGATGCTACGGGATGGACGGTGAGGGCCAGAGTGGATCAAATCTGAGGGCTCTGCGATTAGAGGCTCAATAAACTTTTGTTATTAAGGAGAGCGGGAGTATCTAAGATTTTTTGGTGTGGAGTGAGGGACAGGGATGTGGGTGGTAGAAATTGGGATAGTTGGGAGTAGGGCTTTGGAAAGTATTGCTAGGACTGGTTGGGACCTACGGCAAAGACTCCACTCCCCAGGGACTATTGATATTCTCCTCTTCAGCTTTGCTTGTGCCATCTGTCCCCACCGACCTGTACTGGACACCCTGACCATGCTGACTGCCCACCGTGCAGGCAAGAAACATCTGTCCAGTAAGTTTGCAGGAAGAAAGGGGATAGAGAATAAACCCTTAAGTCCTCCCGTACACCAGAAGGCTGTGGGTTAGATTTCCGGTCGTACGTAGGTTGCGGGTTTGATCCCCAGTCGGTGTGGCGGGTGTGGGAGGCAACTAACTGATCAATATTTCTGTTTCACATGGATTTTTCTCTCTCTCCCTCTCCCTTCCTCTCTCTCTAAAACAATAAATAAATTTTAAAAATCAATACAAACATATCCTTGGGTGAGGATTAAAAATATATATATTAAAAAAATAATAGCCCTGCCCTGTGGCTCAGTTGGTTGAGCTTCGTTCCTCCCATGCACCAGGAGGTTGCCGGTTAGATACCTGTTCAGGGTATATACCTGGGTTGCAGATTCGATCCCCAGTAGGGGGTGTGCAGATGGATATTTCTATCTCTCCCTTCCTCTCTCTATAATTAATAAAAACATATTTTTAAAAAAATAAAATGTATGCAGACTACTCATAGTGTTTTGCTTTTAATTCTCTTCCCTTTCTCCTCAGGCCTGCAGCTTTTCTATGGCAAGAAGCAGCCAGGAAAGGGAATGGAGCAGAATCCAAGACAGCAAAATGAATTGGAGAGGGAAGAGACCAAAAGAGAGGTAATCAGAGATGGAAGTGTGTGTTCCAGGGAGGACCATACTGCATAACTTAGGCTTGAAGTGTTATGGCTTCTAGGAAGAAGCTCTGACTCTTTCTTGCATCTCCATACCAGGCTCCTCTGTTAACCCAGACTCGACTTATCACCCAGAATGCTCTACATAGAGCTCCTCACTATAACAGTTGCTGTCGCCGGAAATACAGGTCTGTGGGGTGGGAAAGTTGGGTAGGGAGGAACAAAAGGAGATAAATAGATGTGTTTTTTTCCCCCATCACCATTTATCCCCCCTATACCCTCTTCCACCTTCATCCCCCCTCCCCCTGAAATCACCACACTGTTGTCCCTGTCAATGAGTTCTTCCCTCTTTTATTTTTGTTTTTGCTCAATCCCTCCACCATCCTAGCCTGCCATCCCTCCCACCATAGATGGTTCTTAAGTGATTGTTTTCCAAATTGTATTCTCAGGAACACTAGTGTTCTAGAGACGTTAACTGGCATTTCAGGAAAAAGAATTTTATGATTAAAAAAAAGTATGGGCCCTAGCCAGTTTGGCTCAGTGGTTAAAGTGTTGGCCTGCAGATCCAGGGGTCCTGGGTTTGATTCCAGCTAAAGGCACGTACCTCAGTGGCAGGCTCGTGGCAGTGGGGTGCATGCAGAGGCAACCAGTCGATGTGTTTCTCTCACATCAATGTTTCTCTCCCTTTCTCTTTTTCTTCCACTCTCTCTGAAAAGCAATGGAAAAAATATCCTCAGGTGAGGATAAAATAAATAAATAAAAATTTTAAAAAGTTTGGGAAATGGCACTTTGTAGGATTACAAAGTAGGATACTTTTGAAGAATAGTAACAGTATATTTTAAGGGCTCTACAAAGTCTTAAGGTAAAAAAATTTTTTAAATTTAACCTAGCCTTTTCTAAATTCATTTGATTACAAAAGCCTTTCTATGCAGGACATATTAATATCTTGAGGAACACAGTTTAGGAAGCATTGCTTTAAGGGGTTGGTAGACACAGGAGAGAGCCCTTTCCTTGACTGCTTTGACAGATTTTGATTCTGCTCTACCCAGGCCAGAAGCCCCTCGTTCCTCTGTCTCGCCTTCCCCTTTGCCACCCCCAGAGGTTGAACTCCAAAGTGGGAAGACCAGTAGGGACCCTGAGCCTGGGGCTGGCCCACAGGCTACGGAGTCAGCAAGTGTCTCATCCCCTGCACCTATGAGCCCCACGAGAAGACGAGCCCTGGATCGTTACCTCACCCTTCGAAGGTGAGTATGCAGAATCACTTTTCCCTTTTGTCCATGACCCTCCTCTTTGCAAACCTTCTTAATTGTTTTTTCCTTGTCCCACTGACTTCTCAATAAACCTTTCTTGACCAATTCTGTTTTCTCTGATGTTTCCAGCTCTGGATGGATTCCAGATGGACGAGGTCGATGGGTAAAAGATGAGAATGTTGAGTTTGACTCTGATGAGGAGGAACCCCCTGATCTCCCCTTGGACTGATACCCTCTTTCCCCATTTAATTCACAAATAAACTACAGCAGGCGCTGGGAGCGTAACTTTCCTCAAGTCTGGTTCCTTGTCCCACTTCAGGATTTCAGAGGTGTTCGTTCTCAGCCCAGCCAATCCTTCCCTGCAATGTACACAGCTGCCCATACTTCTAACCCCTCCCCCACCCTCTACCAAAGTCATGCCAAGCGTCAGCTGCATGCAGCCCGGTGCCCTATTAATAAGTCTGTCAGAAAGAGGTCTTTGCCCTTCATGTTGTCTGCCTTCTTCACTACCTCCACTCAAAATCCTTCCTCCTTCAAATCACATGAGGATTGTGGGTAGAAACG